TTTTTTTTTTTTTTTTTTTTTTTTTTTTTTTTTTTTATCGTGGTGTATTATATACTAATGTAAGCCCATTTTAAGCCTACTTCATTTATGTACAAGGTGGCCATATTTTACGCGTTCGGTGTCGTATCAGGCGGGGGCGGGAAGATGCCCCAAAAAGTGACAGCCATAAAAGGAGAAAAAAAACGGCACCACCCGCGTATTTTCTACTTGTGGTGCTTATACAAAAATGGGCCCGGCGTGGATACCGCCATATGACGCGTGGATAAAAACACGTCGGGTTGATGGTCCTACGCCCCATCTGCAGTTGGCGCGGTTGCATCACGCATGCTGTCAAAAAGGCTTAGTTTCATATGAACGTCAAACGCGGACGCGAGCAGGAACATAAGTATATAGTTCTTCAATAAATATGCGCCAAATTTTTAATTCCCATTTTGCGCGACATTGCTATATAGATTGATCCAAAAAAAAAAAAAAAAAAAAAAAGAAGAAAAAAAACGGAAAAAAACAGAAAACAGAGAAATATAATAATCTGCAGCTGGTTGTATCCATTTTTTTTGCAGCCCTTTGCAGAACGTTGTTTTTTACCATTTTGTCCTTACCCGCGCGTTACCCACAACGTACAGCTGCTAACATTTCCCCCCCCCCCCCCCCTTCTGTTGCACTGGCGCATTTACAGCGAAAATTGAGCCGAAGCAAATAAGATGTTAGCTGTAGATAAAAGCTTCCTTTAAGTGGGAAGATTTTAAAATCGATTTGTGTCGCCCTTTCCTTTTAACACCGTTATGGGTTCTCTCCCATTTTGAATCGCCAGTTGATGTGGAAGGCAAAACATTGCTTTTGACTTCTCGTCATAAAACAACAGGGGAAAAACCTAAAAGGAAGAGTCCACCACAGTTGGCGCTAATAGGGGACAGGAGTAGAAACAGAGGCATACAGGTACATGTAAATCTGTGCCGCCCGTTTTCCCCATTTTGCTCCTTATACAAACGTGCCAACGTGACGAATGTGAGGGGGGACAAGGTTCTCTCTCAGAGCGCTGGTAAGAAAAGCATCGTGACGCATACGCACGTGCACTTTTATATATACCCACAGAAGACGCGCGCGAAATGAGCGGAGACGCGGAAGATAACCTGGAGGAACAGGCACAAGTGGCGTCGCAGGCGGAGACACCCCCGCAGACAACGGAACTTGAGACGAAGGAGAAAAAGAAAAAAAAAAAAAAAAAGGACAAAGGCGCCAAAGGGGACAAAAATGACCCCAATAGAAAAAAGAACAAAAAAAAGAAGCAAAAAGAGAAAACCTCCCAAAATGAGAAAGCGACAGCCGTGGGACGGAAAAAGAAGCTACGAAAGAAGGACGCACCACAGGATGATAGCGACTCGGTAGATGATAGCAGCGATGGAGACAGTTCCCACGACAGCGACATGGAAAGTTTGGAAAATTTTTGCAGAAACAACGATCTTAGCGAGCCCAGCTCGGAAGAACACGAATCGGTGGATGTGGCTGATAAGGATGACCGCGAAAACGAAGGGAAGCCGATCGATATAGAGTACGTAGAGGCGTACCTCAATTCCGTGAGCAAGAAGACGAGGTTGAGCAAGTTGGTGAAGCTGCTCTCCATGTTTCGGGATGCCCTGAACATGTTCGTGGATGATGAGGTGGAGGACGGTATGCCCAGGAAAGGAGGAGAGGTGGTGGACGAAGCAGATCAGGGGGAGAAGCAGAAAAAGGGCTCAAAGGGGGGAAAGAAGCAACGAATTATGAAAGGATCAAAGGGGGATGAGGGTAAACGAAGCAGAAAAAAGTACGCGATGAACGTGGATACGTCCATTTTCACCGTCTTCAATGTGCTATACAACGTGGACTCCCTCTTCTACAATATCACAAATGAAGGGTCTCGCGAGCTCAGGGTGTGGAATTTGGAGAGTATCAGAAGAAATGAGATATACCAGGAGGATAGCACTCTTCAGAAGGATTGTGAAATGGAAGAGGAGACAATAGGGGACAATGTGAAAAGCGCAAAAATTACAGATAGCGCACAGAGTATGGAGATTTTGGAAAATATGCCAAATTATAAAAACTTAGAAAAGTATAAAATGTTGATTGTCCATTTCTTCAAGTATCTCTTGAGTCGAATGAAGAAACTAAACAACAGTGATGTGTGCGCGGGGGTAATAAAAATTTTGAAAAAAAAAAATATCCTAAGATGGATAGTGATATTAAACATGGGAAAAAACTTTTTAAAAAAAATCTGCAGAATGTTTATTTTGTCGAAGAAAAACGATGTTTACTTTTTCCTTTTCTTGTTAATACAAAATATGTTTCAGCTGTACAATGAGAAGAAAAAAATAATATATAACAACAGCGTTGCCAATTCTAACCACAAAGAAAAGGAAGAAATTAAAAAGACATACCAATTGGAGAAACTCCTATTCGAGGTGTACCAATATCTGATGCAAAGATATTTAATCCATTATGGAAGTAATTACCAAAATGTGCTCCTTTTGAGTCACATGAATTTTAAAGAAAACTGCCTCATCGAGTTGTTCACTTTGCTCTCCCATGATGTGGCCTATACCATCACCTTTAGGTATATCCAAACCATCATGCAGAAAATCAGGGAGGGCTTCAAGGTCACCTACGAGGAAGGCAAAAAGGGGGATATGCACACAGTAGATCAGCAAATGAAAGCGAAAAACCGAGATGCAGGAAAAAAAAAAAAAAAAAACACACCAAAGGTTAACCTCATCGAATTTAAAACATTCCACCTCCAAAGCAGCTATATGATCCTCCTCCTGAGATTTCTAATCAAAATTATCAAACTGTGTCAAAATTTGGATATCCTAACATATGGATTAACGGTATTAATAATTGCAATTTTGAAGACTAAAATTAATAACATGAAATATGTACCTGTGAATTTACAACTACTTCATTTGCTAATTCGAATCATGGAGGACAAAAAAAAATACATCCCACTATTCTCCTATTTTACATGCATCATGAATGGACTAAAATCTTATCAGCATGTCAGGACAATTTCCAAAGATCAACAAATCAGATTAACCATTGAAAATTTCGACATTAACACCTCCCTCGAAATTGACGAAAAATTAATTTCAGATTTCTCTATAGCTCATCAAGTATATGAAAAATTATATGTCCTGCTATGTGATTATGTTGGACTCATGGTACATCATATTTCCTTTCCGGAGTTTTTTTTCGCTATAGATTCGTTCCTCAAAAAATATTTCTCCGAATGTAAAGTACATGCATTCAAAATGAAAATTAAAAATCTTCTTGTCTTGGCAAAAAATTCCATCGAAATTATTCAGAAGAAAAGAAAAAATAAAAATATCTACACCATGCATGATAAAATGATTTTTTTCGGAAATGAAAACTTGCCTTTATCTGCACATAGGCTGACCGTTCTCGAGAACTATGAAAATAGCTGCCTGGTAAAAATGAAGGCCAGGATTAGTGGACTTGAGAATATTAAACATGCACGCGATGAGGTACAGGAGGAGGACATTCCTTCAAAGCGGTCTGCCAAAAAAAGGAAACGAGAAGATCAGAACGCTGCAAGTAGTAGTAGTAGCAAGAAGGGGAAGAAGAAAAAGAACAAGAAAAACAAAAAAAGCCACAACAACGACATCGACAACGACAAGCCGACTGCGGAGGCGGAAGCCCCATCCAGAGAGGACAAGGTCGAGGATTTTTCCATGTCCAGTGAGGATGAGCAGGAAGATGCAGAGGAAGACGCCTAATCGAAATATACCTCAAAAAAAAAAAATAAATAAAATAACCACCCAAACCATGGACACAATTAACGGGAGACAACTTCTCCTAAGCAAGCTGCCCAATGTAAAGAGGGCTCATTTGGTTGACCCCATTTTTGGGTAGCCCAAAATTTATGCCCATTTTGTATACTCTATATTTTTTCAAATTAACATTTTTTTTCTCCACATTTGCCCCCATTTGCTTGCATTCCATTTCTTTCCCTTGAATCGGATACTTGGATTTGATTCAAGTACCTATTTGACCCCCTCGTTTGAACATTGACACAAATGTGTAAACTCTCCCCATACACTACCGTTTTAAGCGAAGTAAAACTCCGTTACAGCGGACCAAATTTACACGTAACGTGGGATAGCGCCACGGCCCCTTTCTTCCCAGTGACTACTTCCATGTCTGCGCAGGAAACTTATCATTTAATGTTCCCCATCGAGCAAGTAGCAAACCGGTTTGGAAGTACACATTTTACTTTGCGCAGGGGAGCACCACATGTGCTAAACTAATGTGCCTCACGTGGAACTTACCACGGTGTGAACTTAGCCTTCTCCGACCCACCCCCCTCTGACAGGTGAGTTAAAAAAAAAAACTGCTAACGCTTTAGTAGATGTTCATAATGGACACAAAAATATATTGCCCTTTTTCGAAAAGAAGCACAAATAAAAAGGACCATTCTATGAACACCGTGAGAAAATTCAAGTGACACTGGGCAGACGCGCAAAGCAAAAAAGAAAAAAAAACAATCGAGACGAACAGAAACAATTACACACCATGTACTCCATTAATTGCCAACGCCGATGTTCAAATCTATTATGACCCCCTTTCGACCGGAGGAAGAAGTTTCTATGTTGATGTCTATATCGCCCTTTTTCACCTTGGATAGGTTTTTCCTGCACGATTCTTTTTTTGAACCCTTATCCGCGACGCTTTCTGAAGGATATTTGGTGAGTGCACCATTGTTATTAGCGTTGTTCATGTAATGATAACCGTGCGTATATCCCTCTTTCGTTAAATTGCGTTTCATGCTTGGGTAGTATGCCTGTGGGGGCAGGAAGGGCGTGTTGTAACCCATTCCACTTCCCATCGGGGAGTGATTATAAAACGGTTCGTTCGTTTCGTGGTTCCTTCTATACATCATTTTGGGATCATGCGAGGGGGTACCACCTCCATACGTGAGAGAATTTGTCCCTGTGTAATTCGACTGTCCATAAAGACCATATGGAATGTTACCATCCTCGAACATGAGGTTGTTCCTTCCATGCATATTATGTTGCTGCATGGTTAAATTTGGAAGCTCTCTATTATACGTGTTTGTGCAGAACCCATTTGGATTCATGGTGTTATGGTGGTTGTATCCAAATCCGTTCATTGGGGAATACTCTCCATATCTGTGGTTATTCATGTTGTCTTCTTCTTCGGGTAGACGTTGATTTTTCTGGTGGGGGCTACTACGGGGGGTAAATTCGGCGAAGCTTTCACACATTAGAGGGGGAATGCTCTGATGAATTTCCAAACTATCCTTGTGGTTCTTCAATATATTGTACGTTTTAGGATGGAGAGAAGTTTTCCCCTCCACTGCGCTTATAGACTGTAGTCTATTCGGGATGATTTCTCTATCTTCCACGCATGCCTTTGGACATTCCTTTTTGTAACCTAGTTGGGCAGTTGAGACGTTATTGCGCAGTTTTTTGTCTTCGAGTGTGGCGTCCGCTATGTCGCTTCGGCAGTGATTGCACTCACACGGGTTATACTGAGTCTACGTAGAATGGAAGAATTGGGTGAAATGAACTATGCATGTGTGAGCAAAGTCTTTTTTAGAGCTCGTCACTTTTTAGCCACTGCTAATTTTCTAACTTTGTCGAGCGCGCAGGTGGGGCTCATTTTGCGTGTCATACCTGTTCCAAATAGGTGATGCTGTTTTTTACGTTGTCATATATATTCTGTGCGAGGACTCTCTTTAACTCGGGATCCTCACGCTGTTCCTGCTTCGTGATTTTGTGGTATGGCTCCGAAAAGTGTATAACATTTATGTCGCAGCCTTAGATAAGGGTGAAGAAATACATGCATGTGTGCACCAATGGGTAAGCAAATATGTGCACATTTACAGCTTCAAAATCGAGCCCCCCAAAAAAAGACGTTTTGCAACACTTCAAAATAGGCCACTGTCGTAACGTGCAAATTTGAAAAAAGAAAAGTCTAACTTTAATTTTTTCACACTCTAGAACGTACAACGGAAAGGATAAAAACAAGAAGAAGTGAGCAAAAATTGTGACAAAAATAGTGTGGAGATATTTAAAAAAAAAAAATGTTAAAAGTGAACGGGAAGACCAAATTACAACATACACAAATTAAAAAAGTGGTAAAACGAAATTACGTAATAAGCTCACTGGAAATACACGAAAAAAATGTAGCTAGCGAAAAAAAGAGGTAAAACAAATTCCCTAAACTGTGTGCAATACTTTGTAGATGAAGGTAATTTTTTTTTTTTTTTTCGCTTTTTTTATTTTTTTCACCTGAATGTTCAGGCATTAAACTAGGTATGTAATCCGGGAAGCTGTCCACTGAAAAAAAAAAAAAAAAAAATGAACACATGGTATATTCCAGGAGGTTACGTATATATTGGGTTCACACTATCATAACGCATCCAAGTTGGAAGATGCCATTCTGCTGTTACGGAAAATTCTTTTCATTCTAACTGATCAGAAAAAAGGTGCACACGGTACAGTGGAATAGCTAACTACTAAGCTGGTTATAAAAAAAAAAAAAAAAAAACGTTGTGTAGAGAGCAGGAATAGTTATGCTCCACAAGTCAAACACGCTGCTAAACAAATATTACATATGTCTTGATGTTGTAAATGGGCAGTTAATCTGGTATGTTGAACAATACGTAGCACTGCTGATTGGTTAGTAAAATACGCGTATGCGGAAAACGTGACACATAAAAGCAAACTTGAATGACTAATTGGTAGCAACTAAGTGGACAAATAAAAATTGCGTGTCAGTAAAATGCCAAATCTTTTGCATCATTATTTAATAGAAGCTGAAAACCGAAAAGCACACATGTTTTTGCAAATTTTAAATTTCCCCAGCGCTATATGCACACATGTGTTTACACTTTTTGGCTGTTTTTTTTTTTTTTTATGGACGTAGAATAAAATAACCCTTTTTTGCCTGAACGGCCAGGCGATTTTTACGAGAAGTTGGGCTTGCTATGGCGAAATAGTGCGCTGCTAGTTTGATCCAGGGAGAAAAAAAGGAGAGGACAGCTTCGTCCACAACTTTTGCGTACGTTCTACTTTGAACGTAGTTGTGCATTGCAGCTTTTCCTCTTCATTTTTTGAAGTAAAAGGCGGCAAGCAAAAGGGTCTGTCAAAATTAAGGGTACATACAGTGAGTGGCATTTTTGCACGCATATACACCCCAGTTAAGAGACACTCCAAGTGTTTCGCAACGGAATAGCTATAGTGGAATTTCACATTAAAAGGCTTCATCAAAATGGATCACTCAACTGTGAGACGTTTCTTCATTTTGCGTATCACATGCGGAAAAAAAAATATATATATGGATTCGTGTAAGGGTGTATCTGTGAGGGGCGTAAACCGCCAAAATGCTCACGTACATTCACGTATGTATGCACACACACATATATCTGTGTGCACCCTTTTAAAGACGCAGGGCCATGCACCCCCGGCCGAGGGAACAAGTAGAAGGGGGTTCTAAATTATAGAGTTGTACATCCGATTACTTCTGTCAAAATTGTAAAGGTAATAATTAGAAAAAAAGTTGTCAAAAAATTTTTGCGAGGTCCATTTTTTGGACTTGTATTTTATTGTAAAGGGTTCCTCCTCTTTCCCGGATGGAGAATTCACATCCAAGTTACCCTTGCAGCGTTTCACTTTCTTCCTGAACATGTGTTTTTTTATTTTATTTTCAAAGAAGTCCGAGTCGTAGTAAAATGTGCTAGATGGTCTAGGTACATTAAAAAGAAGGGCCTCCTTTGTCAGTTTTTCCTTCTGCCTTCCTGCAAAAGTCAATATGTCTTGGTCCACGCTAACATCGTCATATTTTAAAATAAGCGTCTTGTGTGGGGAGAAACTTTCCTCATTTAGGGACAACTTTTTATACTTTACATCCTGGTGCAACGTGTACCTTTCCGCCATTGATGTGGCAAAGTGTTTTACGTCATTCAGATTCATCTCCTTGGTAGGATCAGGAGTAGGACAGAAGCAGTATTCATAAGTGTACATTTCTTCACTTTTGTCCTTATACATTTTGTTTTCATCAATGTACCATAAAATTTCTTCCAACAGTAGAGGATCTAGGAACATATTACATTCTAGGTTGGTAAAATATTTCCACTGTTTTTTCAGAGAGTCAAGAACAAAGGTCCATTCCTGGTAGTCAATTTTGTGGTACAAATTTTGTATATACTTTCCTACGTACAAATCGTACAAAATTTTGTTTCTAAATCTGTCTTCATTGGTTACGTAGTTGTTGTATACGTCGAGGGTGAAGACTTCTTCTAGATGTACCTCCTTAATGCTAGTCCCAAATATAGTAAAGGGGTTATAATTTTGTTGTTTTAGAAGGAGTTTTTTTAAATTTTGTTCATTGCTCCATTTGGGTTTTTCAATTAATTTTATTTTTTTTTCATAACGGCTAGCTTCTTTTATATATACATCAGTGCTATGTTTATCTAGCGATTTGATATTTAAGTTTTCCATTTTCTGGTTAATTTCGAGTACCTCCTTTTGTAGCTCATCTGATGCGTTAATATCGTTATTAGGTGTGGGTTCCTTTTTATCGTACAACCCACTTACATACTTGAGGTACTTTTTCTTTATAGATGGGATCATAATTTCTAGGATTATTTTGTTTATATGTATGTCGCTGAGGGATACATCGGGGGAGGTATTCTTTTCTTTTTTCACTTTCTCAAATTTAGATTTTCTATATTCGTCTAACATTGGCTTGATGCAATTTTGAAAAAAAATAGAATTTTCCGTCAGCTCTTCGTCGCATATTAGGCAGAAGAGGAATTCTTCTTTTTTTTCGTGCTTCATGAACAGGGATAAAAAAATATCAAAATTTCTATTCGTGTCTTTTTTCCCTACGTCTATTAGTTGTTTGTGTTTGTTCATGGGCTTTTCTTCCTTTTCCTCTTCATCAGTTTTGTGTCTCCCCGGGAGGTTCACTTGTTCTTCAGCCTCAGGAGCACTTTGTACCATACTCATAATGGGCCTTTTTCTGTCCTCCTTTATTCCCTCCTCATCTGTGTCGCACGTGTGCAATTCTTCCACGCCGCTTAACCTTCTTAGGAGGCTCTCTTGTTGGGGGGGCGTTATTCCGAACTGCTTGGTGAAGTCTCTGCTGATTTTGTTTTCCCTCCAGCTGTATGTTGGAACAGCGCCTTTGACTTTGCTTGTAGAGCCTTCCCAAATTTGTAGTGAGGAATTTTCCGAGGAGTTCAAATTATCCATCTCAAAATTGAAGAGAAGGTCTTTCTTGGAGATGTCCAATTTGCTTATGTGTTCCTCCTTTGTGTATATTTTTTTTCTCTTTGCATATACGTTTATTGTGGTGGTTGTGTGTGGCTGTGCTTCTCGGGTTGTCCTTTTTCTATATGCCTCTTGAACGAGGCCAAAAAATTTGGCACTTTTGTAGATGAAGGCGAATGGGTTTTTGATGCTCAGGGGGGGCCACTTGTAGTAGAAATCGGAGAAGCGGCTGCGCAGTCGATCACAGCTGCTTCCGTGGCTCTCTTTATCGATGCCTTTATATATTCCCTTGTAGATGCCTTCAGGGGGGGCACCATTTGGCTGATAATAACTCGCGAAGGTGTTTGGGCAGACGCTCGAATGATCCCAGTTGTTCCCTCCATTATGCGTGCAAAATGGGTCATGCATTTTTAGAGGGCGGCTCAGTATATCCTCCTCATGCGAGTTCCTATTAGGATCACGTACCTCAAATTGAAACCTTTCGTTGTATATGTTTGTTTTGGGGGTTCCCTTTTCCGTTCTCTTTGTCCTTTCTTTCACCATGTCCTTTTCTGTGTGTCTACCGATCATGTATCCGTTGGGTTGCTCCAAGGGGGGACCGCACATGTGCCTGTTAGGCTCTTTCGGCTTCATAAGGACCGTAGGGTTGCGGAGCAAATTCTGGTAGTCCCCGTGGAGGTGGTTCCAGTTGGCGTGGTCTCCCTCGAAATGATCACCGCTGAACTTGGAATCATCCAAATTGTCTCCGTTTGAAGCACGCAGACTCAAACTGACCACGTCGTCGAAGCTGTCCGCTATGGTCCTATTCGAGTAGGCCATCTTGTCCTCATTCTCCACAATCGTTTCATTAGACCTAGCGTTAATATGCATATCACTTGTTTCCCCCACTCGATCCTGCGCATGCCTTTTACGTTCACTGGGACATATGAAGGGGGAGAAGGAGTTATCCTCGTGCTTCACCATTAGGGGGTCATGCGTAGGGTTGTCAGGATTGCTTTCTTCATTTGTCCATTCGTTCGTCTGGGCCTCCTCTTTTTCGTTTCTTCCATCGTCTTCGTCAACGAGGCCCTCTTGGTGATTGTCGTTGTTCCCACATGGGGGGCCACTTTTTTTTCCTTTACCCGCCTGGTTGTTGCCCTCCCCACAGTTGTCACTGCTGCAGCTGCTGTGGCTTTTGACTCTGCTTCGTCCCTCTTTAGCCAATTTGGAGAGCAGGTCACCCCTTCCCTTTGGCCCACACAGATCCTTCTCATTACCCCCAGTTCTGTTATTTTTCCGCTGATGGATTGAGAGGCACTGCGAAACTTCATACTTCCTCTTTTGCTTTTTTTTCCCTGCCCGTTCGCTCCCCTTCGTCTTCCACACCTTGCTGGTTTCCTTTTTTTCCACCTCATAATTTTCCGTCTTTGTGTATGCCCGTCTTTTTTCATTCCACTTGTTAACGCGTTCGTAATATTTGCTGTAATCGAACGCTACTAAGTTATTATCCCTTTTGAACTGTTCTTTTTTTGTTTTTCTTTTTTTTTTTTTTCTCTTTTTGTATGTTTGCCTTGGGCTTCCAGTTTGACTTTCGCCACAAGATTTGCATGTGTTGTGCATATTTTCCCTAACCGGTGCATCCTCACCATCAGCGACGTTCAACAGACACCCCCCGTCACTTGTCTGTTTTCCGTTTGCACTTATGCTGAGATGACCATCCATCCGCAAAACTGTGTCTTACACCTTTTCTGAGCCAACCTTGATAAGAAGTTATGTGCTTCTGCGTTTGCAAACGCGTATATATGTGCACATATATATATACATAGGTTTGTTCACTGTTACGCTTTTTCCCCGTCCTCGTGAGCATGGGTGACGAAATGGAGGCAAACATGAGAGGCATCGCTTTTGAAGTGAATGACCATGTGAGTCCTTGAACAGAGCACTGGGGGGGATACTACATACAACATTCACAATTGTTCATCCTCTACACTGTGCGAGCCGCTGGCGGCTAATTGGCACACCCCCTTTTGCTACGCGTCATTTTTTTTTTTTTTTTT